GCAATGGGAATACTGATCTTTCCTGGAATTAAGCGCAAAGTAACGGAGGTCACATAAACAATTTCCAAACATTAAATGTTAATAATAACAGTAAAGTAGAGACCCTTGACTCTTTCCATTATGTAAGGCATTTAAAGGTATGGCGGACTCACGCGTCTCAAAAACAGTCGTCTCGCTGACTGACACATCCCTGAAGCCATGCAGAAGGGTGGAAATTGTGGGGGCTTCACTATCGCTGATCGCTGTCGCGCTCTCGCCGAACGCGTTAACATCCACGGGGTGCGACACTGGTGACACGCCGTCCGGGCTGGAGGACCCACTTCTGCTGTCAGAAGTGCTGTGAAGCAGACCAGCACGCGCCCGCTGATCGGTGTCGCCGAATCGGGACGGTTGGTGGCTGCTGGTTGCATTATCTGGCGTTTCAGCATGTTCCATGATGCGCCGACTAAGGGCTTCAACGATCGCGCGGAGACCACGGGTGTGAGTCCGGGAGGGGAAAGAGACTCCATCAAAGAACCAATCGCTGCTCGACCTGTCGCGACTAGAGTTATTAACTTGCTTTATGGTGCAGCAAGTAGCATTACCCACTTCAGCGAAGGACAAGGGACCCGTTCCGAAACCCATAAGCGCGAGCAATTTCAGGGTCGCACAGCCAACTGCACCACAGCCGGCCTGCATTAAGCATGAGAAACCGTTTGAAAATTTAAATCAATATCTTAAAACAACTAGCTGTTAGTTTTAAAACAATGATGCCTCGCAGAAGTTAAGCAATCAGAAGTCCTACAGTTTCTCCAAAGTAGCTGTTTCGCACCAGATCCGAAAAACGAATACAGGCGTTTCTTACAGTGGCAGTGGCTGTTTGTTCTCATTACCTGGTACCTAGTGGTTGCATCCGGTCTGAGAGCGACTGGAACTCGAGAAAGAGGAGTGGTCAGTAGGAGCTAGGTAGTGAGACCGAAAAACCACTGCCATGGCAAATACGTCTGAAGTCATTTATTGGATGCGCTATAGCTGCGGGCAAAGCAACTACGTCAGAGATGAAAATCTACTGTATATGAACCATCTGTATCTGGAGATGTCTCTGATGGTGGATTCGAACATGTAAGTGAAACGTTGGATGAACACAGCTCAGGTTTTAGCAATCGCATCTATCTCGTACCACTAAACAGATTGTCTACTCGTACCGCACGCGGCCAAGTCCTCAATCGATGTGTGTGTGTGAGGTTTGGCGGGTACCGGGTCTCACTTTCATGAGAAAGCCGTAAATCCTACATTAAGGAGCCATTGCAATCTGATCTTCAGTGCTGAGAAGTACCGAGTTAAAACTTCAGTCGGTGATCTTCCAAGCCACGACTGACATTGCGGCGAAATGATGCCAATTCTTAAGTTGCGGCTCATTCGACGAGACCCAGTCACGCATTCATATTTGATGAGGTCGAAATTCTATCAAGAGGTGACGATCGTGTGAGCCGAGAAATGCTTGAGTCATGGTTTGCGGGCCCCCAGTCTATAAACAAGTGCGACGACTTGCCCAATCCATATTCGATGCAGAGACTCAATTTGGCCAAAGCAAGTTGCCAGTTGGGGAACGCACAGGCCACCGCATCGTCTTAAGCCAGCACCGGAGAGCCAGATAAACGAGCAATCATCACGCCCAAGCCCATCACGAGTGGTGAAATTTCAGCAAGTCAGAGCCTGCATGCCGGTCAGCAAGCAAGAGAGCAATTATAGTTAATTAGCCCATAAATACTGCAAATTCCTGGTCATATGTTACCCGTTTCTGCAATTGCTTTCTGTCCCAGCGATCGAATCTTCTTTTTCTTCTTCTTGGTACTCTCATAGGCTCCAGTTTTTGCCCTACGCCTAACTTGTTGACGAGAATACGGACACTCTCAGAGTCAATACAGGACGTGCTGCATGTGGCACGTCCTCTCTTCGTGTAACCGGCGCATAGACGAACGAGAGGCATCAAGCTTTCAAGTGGGATACATATCCTGCACCTCGTCGACTTTCTGCTAGAAAACACAAGCAATATGCACATGCTGCGAAGTCTGGACCTTTTCGGTCCAGGGTAGCCCAACTTCAGGCTAACAATTAACATGCAGGCAATGGCTTTTATACCTGAACAAGGGAATACATCAAATCTACATTAACTGGTTGTGATAGTCGTCTCACAGCTAACGAGAAGGGCAGCAATCTTATGATCTTATAGAAATGACGAAAAAATGGGAAACTCTGATATCCAATAAGGACTAGGCCTTCAGAAGTTAAGGATAGTCAGCTTAAAATCATACTGGTATCATCATCATCTCTGAAGGTAAGTATAAGAATATTGGCTGTGGTAACACATAGACCACAATTGCCAACAATGCAGGAACAGTGCCAGACTGCCTCAAATGTTATCGCACATAATAATCAAGTATTAGTCTGGGGGGAGGCCTGCAAAGCCATCGCAACACAACTGTAAAACCAGTCCCCGAGGCACGGCCAACACGTCTGCACACTGTGAGGAGAATTCAGCTACCGCGTGGGTATGTTGCGTATGTTGCGCATGCAAAACAGCAGCAATTACCATATTACCTACGGTGGATAATCACAGTGTCCAAATCGATAAAGCATTGGCATGGCCTTGTCTGACTATACGTACGAACTGAAGCCACGTCCACCAATCAGATATCACTGCTGCAGTGCAGCATGCAGCGTTTGTAAAAAAAAAGACAACTATCACGTGTATTTGCTCGTGTGGCAAGCTTTAGTTGAAGACATTCTCCTCGTGGGGTTTCAACGCAAAATTTCTTCACTAAAATCAACTTGATACACTCCATATTAGTCCTTAGCTGTCTTATCAGATACTTTGTTGCCCTCGTCCACTTCTGGTCCTGTTGATTTTACCTTGTAAGTGGGCCTGCAAATAGCACTGAAGACAGATTGCGGAAGTCACGTTTCAAATAAAATAACTAGGGAAAGTTGTCACTGCGGCCTCAGGACAGTAGTATACATCGTCACTTCTGACGGTCAAAGTACCGGCTTGGTAAACAATGAAAGGGCAGGCATTCCACAGTGTCCCTAACCGGCACCCAGCTCTAATCGTACTCAGTGCAGTAACGTGAGAGAAACTTGCCTGGTGTTATATGATTCGTGTGGTTCATTTTGCATGGTGTAAAAACCAGCGGCTGATGATACGTGCAGACAGCGGCTGTATCCTGTGTCAGCCAAGGTTCCTAGTTAAGAGGACGGCATGCAAAAACACAGGCACTGTTTACTACCATAGATTACCTACCTAATTGATGACAGTCGTAACTGTCTACCGGAGGTGAACGCTCATCGAGTGTCTTACAAATCATCCAGGATGAAGTTTAGGACGCGTGTAAGCTCATATTAGCATCTGTTATGCTTGTTGCAAAAATAGGATGCATGTCAGCTATGTATAAAATAGTAGGAATACATTACTAGAATAAAATATCCGCTGGCCGTATTGAGCATGATAACTAGAATTCGCACTCTTAGCAGTGGCATATTACCTCTAGCAGCAGAATCCTAGTCCCAAGTTAGTAAAGTGTGACACCTTTTGGTGGACAGAGCTTAGAGGACATAAACCACGGAAAGCCCTGATGTGCTTCGGACATTAAACATGTACTTGCTCGGAATAGCATAAGCCCAGATTCACACTCCCTGTTGGGATCGAGGAGGTATGAGAAGACGTTCTGTAAAGTCCAAGCTACAGATAGATACTGTAGTAGGCCTAAAGGAAGTCTATAAACGGCAAACTTTGCGACAAAAAGGCATGGTAGGACATGTGCTATACATTAATAACGCTCTATTTAACCCATAAGCTAATCACTTTAGCTCATAAAGATTGGGCGTGCTTATTGGGTGCCGACTTGATAAAAAGTTAATGAAACCAGTCATAGACCAAGTCTCCTAGTTGAAATTTGGGGCATGGCTGATCGACGAAAAAAAATGAGTTAAACATTTTCCGGTCCTTATTATCACATTTGCAAAAACGAAAATGCACTGTTCATGCAACGGACAGTGTGCCTTAAGAAGGACTTATCGAACTCGTGGCTGACGCCTTAAGAAGGAAAGTTTTAAAACGAACATACTTTCCGAGACTCACCAAAAGACGCTCGCGTTCAAAATATTCTAAGTGGTCTCCTTTCCAAGGCAAATTGTTAGAGGATTATAGTGACACCTGCAAGGCGAAAAAGCTATGTAATATTGAAGACAAAATAGAGCTTGATCCATTTTGTGCGCGTTCGATTAGTAAGCTACATAAAATTGTGATATATCTGTGCTTACTTACAACCGATCCAAGGATCACAACTAAATATCGGGCAGCTATAGATGCGGTTATGCTTTCGCCGATTCATAAAGTTACCATAAATTGCGATAGGAAATCTCAGTGTAAAGGAGGGAGTACGCTTTCATCTCTAATCTAAAACTGACAGTTTCTCGTGTAAGTGCAGGGATTTTTAGCCTCCAGGTGATTCGTACGACAACTGAAGGATGCGTAGTGCAATGAAGTGCATGGACTTTACTGCCGTATGAGCTAATAAGAGGTGATATCTCAAGTGGTTTTCTTAAACTGTCAATGAGCATTTCACTCAAAAGTCCATAGCTATACCCATTCAACAAATGAATCAAGAATTCATTTGGATAATAATTCCCCAGGGCTATTGGGTGGAACATTAGCATATATCAGTGCCCCTTATTCTCCTGTAATTAAGGACACGAAATTACAAAAAGG